GAGATAATACTATCTGCAGGTGCAATTGGAAGCCCACAAATATTGATGTTGAGTGGTATTGGCCTGGCCCAACACCTCAGGCCCATGGGATCAAAGTGGTGTTGGATCAGCCCATGGTGGGCAAAGACATGGCTGATAACCCCATGAATGCTTTGCTAGTACCATTTCCTCTACCTGTTGAACTCTCTCTTGTCGAAATTGTAGGCATCACTAAGTTTGGCAGCTATATTGAAGCTAGCAATGGATTGGACTTGGGAGCTTCTTTGGCTCAAGCTACTCAAAGCATTTTAGAGACTCGAACTAACCAGGTTAGCCAACAAATCATTTTTTTTTAATTGTTTTGTATGACATACTGCATATCTATTTTAATAATTTCATTTTTATTATTCAAATTTTTTTCTGTTGTTGTCCCTCCAACACCCAATATTCATTATTATATAACTTTGTTAGTGTTATAATAACTTAATAAAAGTTTCTTTCCAATTTAATAAGTACACATTTTGCGATCAGAATTAACCCTGAATGCATTTCCCAATTTCAATTTTCAACAATCTGTTTTGTATCCTATGCATAAAGTTTTTATTAATCTCACTTCAATTTTGTAATGTCGGTTTCATGTACCTAAATTTTGACTCTCATAGCACGGACACATCGACAATACCAGCAAGCTTAAATTATTTTGCTGATATAGATAAGCCTGAGTGCAAGTTTATATGAAAATTAACACAATAATTTTGTTCAGGGAGGGTGGGGTCTAAATATAGGTCCGTACTTGAATATGTTGATTTTTTAGCCATATGTTTAAGGTTGGGCACTTCCTGAGACTAGACTTACATGGACCAATGGCATGCTTGGTCCTCATCCATAAACCAAGTTCAAACCTTGATTAATGGGCCTAATTTATTTACTAAGGCTATGCCAAACTTTGTGCCTCTAAATGTAAACTGAATTAGTTTAAACATGATCCATGAGAGAAATTAAATAGATTGAGTATATCACCTCATTGATAATTTGTCCAATAAAAACATGACATTTAAATATTATTAAATATAAATTGTTTTAAATATTAATAATAGTAAAGAGATAAAAAGCAATAAATCAAATATGTATTTTATTATAAGAATAAAATCAATTAAAAAAATGTCACACACGATTTTATTTAAATTATTTGGAGTATTTTAATTAAATAAACTATAAATGGCATGGCGCACCTAATCTATCTAAAAATTTCTCTGGCCCATGAATAAATTTATCACTTATTATTCTTAAGGAGAGTTACATACAAGTCACACATAAAGAAATTAACTACTGTAAAATCCATTAACAATTACAGCCATTTACAACACAATGACCTTACTTCAATTGTTTATAAATATTGCAGTAATTAATTTTCTTATCTGAGACTTTATTGTAATTTTACCTTATTCTTATTCCATATATCCTCTTTTATAAAAGTTTGATTGTTTTGATAAAGTAAGCTAACTTGGCTTTTATTATTTGAAGACGGGCCAACCCTTCATGTATTTCCCTCAACCAAATGCGAGTATGTGGACGAAAACCTTTGAATCTCTTTCCAATTTAAATTTTAAAGGAGGAATGATCGTTGAGAAAGTCACAGGACCACTCTCAAAAGGCCATCTTGAGCCCCATACCACTAATCCAAATGAGAATCCACTAGTCACATTCAACTACTTCAAGGAACTAGAAGACCTTAAGATCTGTGTTGAAGGCATGAAAACCATTATAGATGTGATAAACTCCAAAGCTTTCTCAAAGTTCCGATATAAGAACAAGCCAGTCCAAGCCTTAATTGACCTTTTCTTGATCTTACCATTTAACTTAAGGCCAAGACATCCAAGTGCTGCATTCTCTTTGGAACAATATTGTATAGACACTGTCCTCACAATATGGCATTACCATGGAGGTTGCAAGGTTGATAAGGTTGTAGATCATGATTATAAGGTCATGAGTGTGGATTCTTTCAGAGTTATTGATGGTTCAACTTTTTTTAGTACACCTGGGACCAATCCTCAAGCCACCCTCATGATGCTTGGAAGGTAATAATAAGTAGGGAAAGTATCAATCAAAAATTGCTGAAGGAAATTTATATCAATCAAGGATAATTTGTTGTCAAAACTTAAATGGATAATTGTTGATACTGGTTAGTTTTTTATCAATAAATATCCATTTAAATCTTAACAACTAATTTATTTTAAATTAACAACAGTTTATTTAAGCTTGTTTTCCATTCGAGTTTTGACAATAAGCAATTTTTTATTACTATTTTCCCTAATAAGTACATTGACTTATAAATTTGGGAGAAAGTCCATTTAATCTTTTGTGTTTACTATTCAATAGAAACATCATAGGCTGATTTTCTTTCTTTCTTTTCCAGGATTAATCTAAACTTTGTTCATTTGAGAATGCTGGCGATTGGGGTTGATTAATAAATAAATTTGTTTTATTATTACTTTGGTGCAGGCACATGGGGCAGAAGATTTTAAGAGAGAGACAATAGTGAAGTGATTACTCGAGTCTTTTGCAGTATGTTTACTGTGTGGGTTGCAACAATATTATAATAAAATTGACCCTTGCAAGGGCAAAAGTTTGTAGTACTTGTAGTCTATAAAATATTTTGATAATAAAGTTGCCCTGGTCAAATCTACATAAGATTATTGATTCTATAGGTTTTGGATGAGTTAGTGTCTCTTTCAAAATACCAAAATTAAATATTTCAACTTATTATAGTCTTTCAATTCCTAACATAATATGAAATTTTACTCAATATAAATAATATTGATTTTAATTTGTTATTCAATTTGACATTGGTTAATTTTAATCCAAGGTTTGAGTCTTGCTGGGAGAAGTGTCCCATTCAATGCCTGACACTATCTTGAACAAAATTACCTCCAATGAAATGATATCTATGAGCAATGAAAAAAAAAATAATAACACAAAAAAGAGTAAAATACAAAGACCTTTTTTCAATTTTTAAAAATTAAAGGGATTCCCTCAAAATTTTTAAAAATTTATATTTTAGTTTAATTTTCAACATTATTAAAATTATTCTATCAAAAATTATACAATACTTAATTTTATTAATTGAATGTATGTATAAAAAATTCGATTATGTGGTGAGGACGTGCGTTAAAAATGGTTGGGAAAATGAAGTTTAAGAACCATTAAAAAATATTTACTATAAATAAAGATCTTGAATTTTAAACTTTTAAAAGAAAATCACCATCCTTTGATTTTTTTATCTCTTTTCAAAATCTTAAATAGTACTCTCTTGATTAAAAAATATAAGATATTTTTAAAAGAGTTAAATATTTAAATATATAATAAATTTTTAATGTTTTACGATGTAAACATTGTTTTCTCACAAAAATACCTCTAATTAATAAATTACTTTGCATATATTCTAAAGTAAAATATTCTATTAAATAAAAGTAAATATAAAAAGCTAATGTTAGTTTGAAGATAATACTCTACTTTATTAAAGTGTGAGATTTAGATGAATACTAAAATCAAATAAGATGAGTACGCAAAAAACCAACTAAAAAAAAAAACTTTAATTCCAATCAAGAACTATGATCCTTTTTTAGAATTTCTAAACTTCAAAATTCTTAATTATAGTTAATCTTCCTAGAAGATCATTAAATGTGAAATCCCCTAAATGATTTTTTTTTTTTTTTTTGCTTTTGGACTTGTTGATAATGCAACACATGAAATGATAATGATAAGAGCATTATCAACATGAGCGAAGTCTAACGAAAAGGATTAATCTCTCAGTACATGACGAATCAAGGTTCAAATTTTCATTAACAAAAACAAAGCCAAAACCCTAGGTTAGAGGGGGGATTTTCTTCTAAAAAAAATTAATAATTTTACAAATAATTTAATAATTGAAAAATCAATTATATAGACTTATTATATTACTGAACTTTGAGTTAAAAAAATTGAAAAATTTGGGCTCAAGTTTAAAAAAAGAATCATAATGGATTTAACATTCAAAATATTTAAAAAATGGGGTGCAAAATATGAAGGGAATGGGGTGCAAAATTTAAAATTTCATACCCAATATATGTAATTTTTCCTAGGGGAGGCAGGTGCCCACCTTCACTTGTATGTGGTTCCACGACTGCCTATTGGAAGAAATGCCCACATTTGATACTTAACTATATTTTGAATATGATTTCTTTCAATAAGAAAATGCCTACGGGCAATTTAAAAAAAAATAATGCAAAATTTCTACAAAGCCAAACTACCAATATGAAAAATCGTTGACTACTTCTCTAAACTCTACAGGATATTGGATTTGGCATCAGTTGCATTTCCATCTTTATTAACAATCCGTCTTTTCCTATTGGTAGGATGAATCTAATAATATGAAATAGCCCCATCCATGAAAGGAATATAAAAGACTAAATCTGTCATAAACTCAAGGATAAATATCAAATGTACGAATGCATAAGAAAATCTAATTTATCCACAAAACCTTCTGGTGCAACTATTATTGATTATGATACATTGAACCTGTTCGCTGTACAGAAATGTTCAACAAGACCATTTTAAAAAATATATGTAATATAAGAAATATTTGCCAATGCTAATATCATAAATAAAAAAAAGATATTTTTAATAAATAATAAACTTGAGACTATCATCCCCTATATAGATTTTGTTGTCGGTTGTTTCTCATAGTTGCTGACAGTTAGAAACCGCCAGCACTAGTGGACCTTCCTTGATGATTATAATCACAAATATACTTTATTTATTTTCTTAAAATAAATTAAGATAGTTAAAGAATAGTTGATGATTTATTTTGTAACCACCAACTATTTAGTGTCTAATATTTTTATTTCTGGCCTAGTGACCAGACATTAAACGGTACGTCAAAATTGTCATTTCTTTTGATAGATAACAAAAGATAACCATTGAAATAAGTTGTTCTAATCTTCCGTGTTTTTTATGTTAGTACTTGCTCATAATCAGGCATCTAAGACAAAGGCAATGATATCATTGATGCACCACATATTAAATTGTTCGAATACTTCCTAAGCCACCACAATGAAGGTCGTATCAGTAGTATTTCCATCATCATCAACAATTAACCTATCCATAGTTGTGCAATGAGTCTAATATGGTTTGAAATAGCTCACCTTTTGACTGATGAGCCACACGCAGCGATGCATCTGAATCTGATTCGTATATGAATTTATGAATATGAAGAAACACATCAGATAGATACATATGGATGAGAGCGGCTGATTCATATGCACTGAAATAGAAAGAGACTTGCATATAAATATCATAAAATTCATGTTCTGTAGTGATCAGCTAGAAGCCCCACCGGCGCTACTGTTTCTCTGTCTTTCATTTTGGCGAGTCAGGGAAGAGAGTTGTAGAAAGCAAATGGGTAAAGGTGGTGAAGCTCTGGGGAAGAAGAAAATATGGGCAATGGCTTGTTGGCATAAACACCCTCAAGATTTAGCCTTTCAAGCTCCCTACTCTGGCTATATATTATTCTCCCTTTGAGTAACTCTATTTTCTTCCAAGGTTAAAATTACTAGGAAAAATTTCAATGGGGGACCCTTAATAAGAGAAAATGAAAAAGAGGACCCTTGAATTTCTGAAATTTCACTTAAGGACTCGTACGGATTTTCATTTGAATTTGTGACGAAAATGACAAAATTGCCTTTATTTAAATGAATAACATAAATGACTTATTCATTCCCATACTATATGTTATTCGTTTACTTATAGAATATTATTCATGTTCCTATTTCGCTTGTTTATGGTCTTGCTTTCATTTGATTTCATTCCAGAACCATAAACAAGAAAAGTAAGGAAACGAACAACATTCCGTAAGTAAATAAATTACATACAGTATGGGAACAAATAAGTGATTTTATCATAAAACCAACACTTGGAATGAAATCAAGTAAAGCTAAAGCTATAAACAAGTGAAGTAAGAAAACAAACAACATTCCGTAAGTAAATGAATAACATACAATATGGAAACGAACAAATCGTTTATATTGTTCATTTAAATGAGGATAATTTTGTCATTTCTATCACAAATTCAAACAAAATTCTGTATAGGTCCTTCAGTGAAATTTCAAAAATTCAGAGGTCATCTTTTTCATTATCTTTTGTCAAGGATCCCTCGCTGAAATTTTCCCAAGTTACTAATATTCACTTATCAGTGAATTCCTTCTCAATTTCATTGACTTGCTTCTCTTTGCCTATTGGAAGGTCCATATGATGTCAAAATTCGAATGAAAGCTGTTGGCATCTGTGGCAGTGATGTTCACTACCTCAAGGTAAACATTTTTCTTCCGCATAAGAATCATGTCACAACAAAAAGTATATAAGCAATAATTATCGTTGCTCGAGTCATAAATTATTGCGCTCATTAATCTATATTCTTTCCAGTAACAAGTTTCTATTCTATGCATTTGCAGACAATGAGAATAGCAGATTTTATAGTGAAAGAACAAATGGTGATTGGCCATGAATGTGCAGGGATCATAGAGGAAGTTGGTAGTGAGGTTAAGAATCTCGTACCTGGTGACCGTGTGGTAATTGAGCCTGGAATCAGTTGCTCACATTGTGGCCCCTGCAAACAAGGTCGATATAATTTATGCCCTGATATGAAGTTCTTTGCCACCAGTTCACGGTTCCCTTGCTAACCAGGTTTGAAAAAATTCACAGCTTATCAACATATAGCTCTTTCTATAATGTTAATGTGCCTCATCATTTCTGATGATAGAAAGATTTGGATGATCATATGCTTAGCAGACAGAGCACAGAGTACAATATGTCCAGTTATCTATTTGATCATATTTTATGTGATGGTGAACCCATGAATCTATGATGTTCTGGTCCAACTTTCCCATTAAAGGAAATAGTTTGTCATTTTAAAAGTTCTTTGTAGGTGCTTATTGGATAAAAAGGTAACCCCATTCCAAATAGAGCTGACAATAACACATCTTACCAATTTAATAGCTATAATATGGTGAAGGATAGAATTCAAAATGTTTGAGCTGAACTTTTCTTTTGGTAGATAGTGTATCCTGCAGACCTATGCTTTAAACTGCCAGACAATGTGAGCATGGAGGAGGGGGCAATGTGTGAACCCCTGAGTGTTGCTGTTCATGCTTGTCGCCAAGCTAGTGTTGGACCAGAAAAAAATGTGCTGATCATGGGAGCAGGTCCCATTGGACTTGTCACAATGCTTTTAGCTTGTGCTTTTGGGGCACCCAGGATTGTCATTGTGGATGTGGACGACCATCGTTTGTCTGTTGCAAAAACACCTGGGGCAGATGAGATTGTTAAAGTTTCAACAAAAAATTGAGGTACAACTGTTGTTACTAATCTCCAAGACATTTAGAGGTTGAAAATGTGTTAATTGTCAAACAAATTTTGAATATGTTTGAAGAAAGATGACTATGTAACATTTGAACTCAATCACTTTATCTTTTGCGTTTAGCTCCTAGAAATATATGCTAAGAACAATTGCTAATTTTGCGTCAGTGGGGCAAGTAGTGTTGTTTTTACAAGTTTTCTATTCCTTTTGACATTTCCTATATATTCAGGGAACCCTAGTTGTTCTTCTTCTCACAATAACAGAGAAGTTAATTTTACTTTGCCTTTCCAGAGTTCAACACAGCAACTTGTCATACTATATCATTAAACACCGATGAAGCCCATTTAATATGCCATTTTGCAGGATGTGAATGAAGAATTGCACAGATACATAAGGCTATGGGGGCTAGGGTGGATGTTAGCTTTGATTGTGCAGGTTTCAACAAAGCAATGACTACTGCATTGAATGCCATTCATGCAGGTGGCAAGGTGTGCCTAGTGGGAATGGGTCATAATGAAATCATTATTTCACTCATGCCTGATACTACAAGAAGGTATGTTTCTTGGTCCGAGTATATATGAGTTGGAGATCAACTTTTCTTTATGAAAAATTTCCCCTGAGACTTGAATGCTTGTTATGTTGGAAGTAAAATTTAACATATGATTACAAAACAAGGTTGCATTCTTTAAGAAAACTCATTAACAAGATACCATACTCCAAAAAGCAATAGGGATTCCCAACTTTTTTTTATTAATGAGTTTAGGATCACAAGGACAAATGATTCTCGACAATTGTTACGAGGACAAAGAACTGTGAGGATGAAGAGTAAAGAGATTTTATAGGCATAAATAAATTGAAATCAATAATATTATGTAACTATCTTTGTTAATTTTCAGCAAACATAGATATCCATAAACACAATATTGTCCTTTGCCTTTGAGTCAACTTTTCTGCATATGCATAATGTTTAAATGATTGATTGTTTCATTCCAAATACAAGGAAGTTGATGTGATTGGGATTTTCTGTTACAACAACACATGGCCTCTGTGCCTGGAGTTTCGGAGGAGTGGGAAGATAGACGTGAAACCTCTCATAATTCACAGGTTTGGATTCTCTCAGAAGGAGGTGGAAGAAGCCTTTGAAACCAGTGCTCGTGGTGGCAATGCTATAAAGGTTATGTTCAATCTGTAGGTGTGTGTAACATGTATAGTGTATGTGCTTATGTTCAATCTGGAGAAGGTATTCACCTGATTATGCTGTATTTAAAATAAATACATGTTCATGAACATGTATAATGCCACCAGAGCCAACCTATGCACAGCTTTATGCTATGAATATGCCTGGCAATGATTTAAATAAATAAAACATGGGTAGTAAATGCATAGCTAATTCCTATTACATGCGATTCAAGTGATTTTATAAACATATTGCGCATTAGCTGTGCTTGTTTGGATCAGCGTCCACCGTTAAAAGATCAAAAAGTTGGTTTCAATAACTTTTTCTTGTTTGGATTATCTTTGAGGCCTAAACTAGGTTAGAATGAAAAGCAACTTTTGCTTGCTTTTTTACCCAACATGGTTTGAAGATTTTATATACAAACATAAATTACATTATTACTGAGTTTTTTTGCAAACTGTAATCTATGAAAATTCAGTTTGGCAAGTGCTAATCTAGACACACAAGTGTCATGGTTAACCAAAATCACAAATTACGGGAGCTTGGTTTCTAAAACTAAATTAAAATATATATATATATATATATATAAAATCTATTCGTGAATCAATCATTTGACATGTCTAATGATCTATCAGGAAAGAAAGCGAGTGTGAGAACGCAAACCCACTCCTGCACAGCTGACCCATGAAACTTTGTTGGCGAATATTGCTCCGGGAACATTTGCGATTCTTGCTAGGCTTTCTTTGTTCTGTTCCCTATTCAGGCACTTTCATGACTTTGTTTGCTCATCATTTCAAGAGATGAGAGACAAGACTGCAAACTGTAGAGCCTCTGTGGGTGAGCGTGGGTTTCGTATCTGTATGAGCATTGAGCATGACTGAGAGAAGCGAGATATGCCTTTTTCAGGGATTATGAAACTTTTATCGCTGGTAGGAAGGAAGAAAAAAAAAAAAAAAGCTGGATCATGCATTGCTTAGACATCGACAAAATACAAGTTTAAGACATCAAAGGGAATTCCTTTCGCGTGGAGAAAAACCAGGAAGAAGGAAAATTTAAAAAAAAAAATAAAATCATAAAAATAATGAAATTTAAACAAAAATTAGGAAAGATTTCCTAATTATTTTTAAAAATATATTTTCAATTCTTTACAGTTTTATTTATTTTTGATATTTTATTTTATTTAAATTGAGTCCTTATTGTTTAATCAATTAAATTTTTTAATCCTTGAAGACTAAAATCTTAATTTTTTTCTTTTAAAAAAAATTAAGAACTTTGTGTTTTTATTAAAGGAATATATAATTTTAGAATTAATTGCATAACTTTTATAATTCAAAAATTATCTAATTATGCTGTATTTTAAATATTTTTTATACATATAAAATTTTCATTAAAAAATTAATAAAAATTTAAACAGTATATTAAATTAATTTTTTTCAATTTTGGCTAAAAGTATTAAATTGAATTTTCTATAAACTCTAATAATATTTTTTTTAAAAATTTAATAATTCATTATTAATTTTATCTTTCACGTGTTAACATCAATAATAAATCAAATTATAAGAGTTTAATTCATAATTAAACAAAACTAAAAAGACCTGTAGATTAATTTTTTCTTTTTTTCTTCTCTCTATCTTCTTTCCACCTTTTTGTATTCAAACCAAACCTTAGTCCTTTAAACTTGTCTCAATTATCAATTTAGTTTTTCAAAATTTAATTTTTCAAATAATCAAAATTTCACACTTTTGTCTTTGAAAAATTGAAAAAAAATACAAAACTCTATTATTTAGGGACTTTAAAATATCATAATGTGTTTTTTATTTTATGTAAAAGTTAATAATCAAAAATAAAAGGAAAAATGAAGTTGAGAAGGTGGGTGATATAAAAGATATTAGAAAAAAGTACATTAAAGACCTCTAACATAACAATCTGATAATTGCAATGGTAACATCTCATAAATCCCATTTAAAGAAGGCAATAACATGAGTAAGAAAGAAAAGTACGTACCCTAGAGTCTCCAATTGTTTAAAATACAATGAAGGATGTAGTCCTTGTACATGCAAAAGAGGTGTAATGTCAAAACTGTTTCTTTATTAAGATGTAAAATTTTTAGGCAATTTATTAATCATTTAAGAGGAGTTATAAATTTCTTAATATCAGTTGAGATAATGAAGGAACTAATAGAACCAATAAAACAGTAAAAGCATATTATTGAAAGGCGAGAAACGAACTATACAAGAAAATAGACACACCTTTAGTCCTTCCAACCCTGTATGAGTTTGATAGAACACATTTGTTACCTATTTTTATTTATCAATTAGGACCCTTTTATTAATGATTTATTACCTTCAAGTGCACACATTGCATTAGATTTAGAATTTTGCCTAAGTTTCTAGGTTCAGTGCACTAGGGGTATTTTGGTCCAAAAATTAAACTTTTGAGAAAATGTACAAGAAAAACTAACAAAGTGAATTTTATGTCCAGTTGATAAATGATGAAATTATATTTTTAAAATTTATTTTAGTTTGAAAGTAATTAAATAAAAAGTCAACACTTTCTTAAAATCTTAGTTTGACCTAGTTTTCGGTTCACCTTTATGTGAAAATTTTTATATAATTTTGTGCAACCTGAAACTTAGTTAGTTTAATAAATTCTCTCTTCTAATTATGAATTTAGTTCTCAAAATTAATTAGATTTTATTATATCACATGCCATTTAATTGAATTATGTGATTTATGTGACATAGGTGGCATGTGACTTGTGCATCTTTTGGGCAATTGAAGTCAACACTCTTTGAGGTCAATGGCTGAGCATTTGAACGTGATTTATGCTATTTTTGGGATATTAAATTAGCTTAAATGATGTGGATGACATATGAGAAATTACACACACATTGGAATTATCTACAAACCAATAGGAGGTTGCCACCTTGCAAGTGTGACAAGGCTCTCATTTTCATTTTAATTTCTTTTCTTATTTTTAAATTAAGCCTTCAGCTGATGGGAAACAAGGAGGAGTACATCCATTCAGCCCCAATAGAGATCCAACACTCATTTCATTCATTTTCCACATTTTCTCTCTCTTGTTCATAGTGTTCTTCATTTTTTCTCTTTTGTTTTTCATTTTCTAGCACCCTAACCTCCATTTTTAGCCACCAAACGTCCACAAAACTCACACCATTCTTCTCCTTTCCCCAATTTCATCCTAACCCTTCCATTTTCATAAGGATTGAAGCTCGTTTCCATCATTCAAGAGCTATGAAGTTTGGCCTTCACAAGCAATCACTAGGGTTCTTGAATATGATGAAGATTGGCTAATTTCTTTGTTGGAATCGTAGAGAGATGAAGATGGAGGATGAGTCTTGAGTTTCAAATTAGCTAAGTTCTTTTGTTTCCTATTCTCTTCTCTTTTTACTAGATGGTTAGATTTCTTAATCTAGAGTTTAATCATCTTAGCTTGTAAATTTTAATTTGAATTTGATGTTGATGTAAAGAGAGAGGATTGTTTCATTTAATTTCTTCCTTGGATAGCCATAACTGAATTTTGCCACTCTTTGTTTGGCACTTAATCTTGTGTTTTTCAATTAGTGAATTACTTATGCTAATATTGCATAATATTGTGGTATTAATACTTGTGTTGTTGAGTAGCTTGACATAATCTTGTGGTTACTCACAATTAGTTAATTTTTACCGTGGTTGTTGAGAGGAGATTTTGAGTGAATCACTTGGCTAATTTTTATACCAATTTGTTAATTAAAATAGGGACTTTAATCTAAGACTTAGGGAGGTTAGCTAATTAGGTGAATTGGCTTAATTTTCTTAAGTCATGACAGCTTTAGTCAAGAAAAAAGAAAAGCTAAACTTAACCTAATCATGAGAAGATAATGAGTCTAAAATCAACTAATCTCTAGGGTTCTACTCTTGTGAAAAGGGAAGTGCATTTCACTCACTTTATTTAGCATTTTAATCATCAGGTAATTAGTTTAGATAATTAGATAACTAAATTCCTACAACTTTGGGTGATTTATTTCACTAGATAACTTTTAATTAGATTAAGACCATTCCTTGGGAGATGACCTAGAGTTGGTCCTATATTGCATTAGGGTTAGCTTAGTTTAATTTTGAGGATAAGCGACTAATTTCCTTATCAACCGTTGAGAAATCTCAATTTTCTTTTTTTTTCACTATAATATAACACCAGATTAGAATTGCAGATAAGTTTACCAGCAACTTTCACACAAAATCACACTAGAGGGTTTTCAATAGAATTTTAAAGCTCCTAATTAGAATACATTCTAATATACTGATGTAAATATAACAGCATATGATGATTTTCAAAATGGATCCTTCCAAATGTAGATTATATCCAAGTTAGATAATCTAATAATATATCAGTGACCAAATACTTTGTGTAAGTGATACAAAACACCTTAAATAATGCCATTGATTAGCTTACCTTGAAAAAGTTGTTATATACTAATTATACGGTCATGGACAATATATTATTTCAATTAGTTACTAATTCAACTAACACAATAGTAAATATATACTATCAGCACATTGATCACCTTGCAAAATCACATTCAGAATCTACCTATAAACTTGGCTAGTTACATTAATGTGACTCAAGAGCTTAAAATATGTTTTCCAAGTTAGACTTGGTTAAACTGAAAAGCCAGCCGACAAAAGCTATGGGGTAAAGGAGGGGGGAAAAGACAACAGTATATTCTATTCAGCGGGATATAGAGAGACACTAAACTTTTACCCTCCTGGATTCCCAAAAGCATATCAAAGAAAGTGGACGGAAAGAGGAATCTATTTACTTTCAGAGAGATCAAGAGTACATTTCCAGTCATGAATGAGCAAGCCATGCTATGCAAGGAAAGTGACCTGTACTTTGATACCATAACAGTATATAAAGAGGACCAAGTGTAGTTAGCTAAGGCATAACCTTGAAGCTTATATATGAGTTTGCTAATTGCTTTAATATTCCATCCCTCGTGCATGCTTAAGTTGAAATGAAAGTGCAGATTAAGTAACGAGAGGATGGAGATAAAGAGAATAAGCAAAGTGGCCATAGGGCTTCTCTTTGTTGGCAAGAAATGACAGTGATCATCAGTGTATGAATCTTCTATGGAATTTCTTGCTAAAGTAGAGCTGCCCTGTGATAGCTTGATAGCTCAATATGTATGCATGATGTCTTTGGCTATATTCCCGACAAGTTGCAGAGAGGAAATAATGAAGCAGATATAGCAGGAGAAGCAACATATATAGATAATGCATGTACATTACTTCTTTGTTCCTATTTCTTTTACATCTTTAGTGAAGTGATCTCCCAGGAACTTGATGATGTTGATGGATTTATGTAGGTTTTTGCTTGGAAACTAGAGAGTTATCTACTTCTATTTGGATTAATGTTCAATCATTCAGGTTATTTTCCTTTTATTTTATCATAGATAATAAATACTTTATTTTTCTTTAATCTTTGTAATTCTTAAAGTGTTTTTATCCTTAATTAGTGGTATTTTAAGTTTAAGGGGACCTTTGCTATGAATTCAAAATTTACCCTTTGTTTAGAGAGAGAGAAAAACAAGAAGAAAGGAAAACTAGGAAAGAAAGCTCTTAAAAATAATGCAAAATTTGCTAATTTTTTTAAATTTTTCCTCCTAGTTTTCTACCTAATTTTCATTATGGGTTTTTAAATTTCCTATCCCTTGATTCAAATATGTTAGTTGTTGCTATGTATGGAAAAGTGTTGTTTGTAATAGAGGGATCATATAGAGTTGTTAGGAGTGTATAAATGTTGCTGATGCTATAACAATGGATTCGAATTATTTGGGGGGTTTTATTCAATTGTGGTTGATTTGAGCAAACCCTAGGGTACAAATGGGTAGTGTGAAGGTTGACTTAGTGGATAACAGGTTTAGTTA